GCACACCTTTGACGCTGCATTTTCTCCGTTTTCTCCGTTTTTCTCGTCCACACGTAAATGCAAAAACTGAGTTTTCAAAAATATCCACCCTAGCCGGAGTTTTTAAAAAATCTCTGTTTTCAGTGACCAAAAATGCCGTTTACGTGTGGACGAAAGGTGCAAATGCATAGAAAAATCTGCGTTTTCAAAAGTACCCAGGTACGTGTGGACTTAGCCTAAGACCAGGCAACAAAGGAAGTTTGACTTACTTGTTGTACGTCGGAAACCACAGCAAAATAGGGAGAATGTCATCAGTGGCCATGGAGAGAGGATGCCACACCGACAATGTGGACAAGTGGGTGAAGAATTTGTCTGACAGACAGCTCACCTAAGCAGAGAAAAACATCCTTGCTGAAGGGTTGAATTTTGCTGTGATGCCGAGACAAATCCTGCTAGTGGAGCTGATCACAGCCACAGAAACAGCAATTCGAAACAACAATATTGCAGACGTGGAAGCAGAGAAACTACGGACGAAGGTTTCAGCCTGTCTCAACAATGCGAAGCCCCCAGCATCCAACATCAGCATGGAGGAGAGGAGACAATAACATTATCATCCTTCCAGCAGACAAGGGCAGGCACACAGTATTGCTAAACCAGAAAGACTATCATGAGAAAATTTTGTCACTGCTTAGTAGGGATGGGTACCGGTATCGATGGCCCCGGTTCTGACATAAACGGTAGTAACCAGACCGAAAAGCAGCGCACATTTCGGTGCTTTTTTCCCCTGAGATGTAATACACTTTGAATTCTAGCCAATCATTTTACCTTTGCAAGCGTAGTAGGCGGGCAGAATTTGAATGAAAACAACAGAATTAGAATGACAACAGTAGAATTTGAATGAAAACAAATGAATTTCAATGAAAACAAATGAATTTGAATGAAAACAACGGAATTTGAAAAAAAACAGCAGAATTTGAATGAAAATAACAGAATTAGAATGACAACAGCAGAATTTGAATGAAAACAAATGATTTTGAATGAAAACAACGGAATTTTTAAAAAAAACTGCAGAATTTGAATGAAAACAACAGAATTAGAATGACAACAGCAGAATTTGAATGAAAACAACAGAATTAGAATGACAACAGCAGAATTTGAATGAAAACAAATG